CTCTTGTAGTCATAGACCAGAGATGTCATTGCTTGTGGCATTTCACACGATAAGGGCCAGGGCTGGTTTGTGACATACTATGTGTTTGTGGGCCCGCAGTACCTTATAGAAGACCCAGGTCAGTGACCCAACATGTAATAAGCCAAACCTTGGGTGGGCTGGAGGGAAGACCTGGGGAGAAGGGTAGGGTTGGACATTGGAAAGGTTTGGGTTCCTGAGATGTTCAGGGTGGGGCAGTCTAGCGACTGATGATGGGAAGGAGGGGTCACAGCTACAAGCCACAATGGTAGCAATACCATTTGAGGGCCTGGTTGTGAGCTGGCCACGTGACTGGTATTATCCCAGTTATTCTCACCAGAATTCAAAGAAGCAGTTGTGATCGTTTCTACATAGGGAAACTGAGTTTCAGGGAGGCTAAGGTTTTTGTCATTATGCTACTGATAATAATTTGCAGCATCAGGAGATGAATCTAGGCCTGGCCTCTCCTAAAATGTTGTCTCTTCAGTATCTTTGGAAATCCTCCTTCAGGTGATGGGTCGCCTGGTCTCTGGCTTAGAGAGTCTCCCTTTGCCACCTAGTAGGCCTCAGGAGGGGCTGGGCCAACCACTCTCACAGTGTAGTGTAACCTGTGAAGCCAGGACCCTCAGTGGGGGGACAGTCCCCAGAAACAGAACCTCCTGGGCTGCCCGCGGCTGGGGTCCTGGTGACAGTGAGTTTGCTTGAAAAGTGGGCATGATGAGAGCCAGGCGGTGGTGCATGCCTGCAACCCCTGCACTTGGGAGTGCAATGGAGGAGAACGTCAAAATTGGAGACCAGCCTGAGCTCCATAGCTAGACCTAGCCCAAGAAACAGCAGGGGATTGAAGCATACAGAGGCCCCAGGTTCAAGCCCCAGCACCCTGGGCTGTAACCTCAGACGCTCCAGACTTCAAGCTCATCCTTTGCTACCTCGAGGCCCGCCTGGGCTGCCCTGCAGCACCTCTCAAACACGCCTTGCTTGCTCTTCTAGCCCGGAATATGAAAATGTGGTCAGGACCCCTGCATGGGCCAGTGGGTGGTGGGGGATAGTAGGTATCTCCGGGTCACCTCACCCACGCCAGGGGCTTAAGGAACATGAGTTTGTAGCAGGCCTGGGAGCCTCGGTGACCTCTGCTCGACCTTGTGGATTGCAAGCACTCACTGAGCCAAACCCAGATTAGGAGTTCCTCAGAGAACAAAGTAATTCTCTGGTGGGGTTCGCACACAGCCCCAAGTGACTGGTCCCTGCTGTCCAGTGAGTGACAATCTGGCACTGTGTCTCAGTCGTGGGCACAAACAGCAAGCCCCGTAGTTGGGTTTAAGGTTGGGAAGGAAGCTAATGCAGCTTCATTTAACCCTGTGGGCCTCACAGCAAACACCCCCCATAACAACCCCAACCTCCACCCAACTCCCAATGGCGGCAAAAAGAACAGGGCCTGCCAGGCTCTTGCTACCAAAATCTTAAAATCTTAAGAGGTCCTGGGGGTTTGCACACAAATCCTACCTCCCTGCCTCTGCCTTTATAAGGGAGCCTGAGGAGAGGCGCCCCGCTCTACAGGAGCCTCTAGGTCTGTCCGGAAAGGCTCTCGGGAGGGCGGGTGGGGAGGGGGTGAGGGAGGGGCAGTCCTGGGTGTTTTCACAGTCCTCAGCTGCCACTAACCTGCTGCTGTGGTGCACACGGTTCCTGCTTGAGCGCCACTGCTAAGCCTCCTCTCTCCGTTATACCTCCGGTTCCCCCACCCATCCCCCTCCCCAGTCTTTTCTCCCAGGATTTCCGTGCAATCTCACACCCCGTCTCTGGTTTCTTTGCGTTTATTCCTCTCTCGCTAGCCGCAATCTCCCTCCTTCCCTCTAGTCCTTCTCCTGCCCTCCTCCTCCCCGCCTCCCTTGCTGCTTAACTGGAGCAAAAGTGAGTTTGCTTTGTGTGGGGAAGAGGCTACGCGGAGGAGCCGGCAGCAGGGAAACAGGCTGGGGCCAGAGGCAGCACCAAGCACCGGAGACTCCAGCCCTCAGCGGTTCCAAGGAGCAGGTACTGCCCGGACAGGCTGGTTCCAGCACAGACCTCTACCCTGTCTTGGCTTTCTAATCTACCTCAGTAAATCTCTCTATTTACTTTCTTCCCAGCCTTGAAGGGTGTGAAAGATTCCAAATTTACGAAATAGGAGGACAGAGGCTCAAGGGGTGGCATTGCCCTTGTTTTCAGGGAATTGTAACTGGGCTCAGAGGCAGGCTAGGTCCAGATGGCTACAGGTGGTTTGAGCTGTATCACCAGGCCCAAGCTTCAGGTAACGGAGAGGCAGCCAAAGCTTTCCAGCTGGAAATGTACAAGAGCAAATCTATACGTGAAGGGTTTCTATCAGGCTGCGGCGATGCAACCCAGCGGTGGAGAACTTGCTCAGCACACATGGGCCCTGGGTCTGGTTCCCAGCAAGGCAAAACCAAAACAGAGCAGTGGTTATCCTTCTCTGAACCCCTGGGCAGCTGGTTTGTCTCCTCGGAATCAAGCAGCCATAGTCACTTTCTAATTCGTAAGTTGGGAAATGTGTTTTCTTAATGATCAGGTTTTTTGTTTATTGGGTTTTTTGGGGAAGTGAGGTTAGTTGGTTTTTTTGAGACAAAATCTCTCTTTGTAATCCTGGCTGTCCTGGAATTCACTATATAGACAAGACTGGCCTCTAACTCACAAAGATCCTCCTGCATCTGCCTCTCATGTGCTAGGATTGCAGACATATGCCGCTATGCCTACAGGAATGGTTCTTCTCCTTCTCCTCCTCCTCCTCCTCCTCCTCTTCCTCCTCCTCCTCCTTCTTCTTCTCCTCCTTCTCCTCCTTCTCCTCCTTCTCCTCCTTCTCCTCCT